GGGTCGCGCCTGGTGCTCTGCGAGGCCGGTGGGGCGGGCAGGGCCGGGGCCGGGCTGACCCTGGGGCTGCTCTGTACGGTGATATACAGCGGGGTGTCCGTATATACCTGTCTGCGTGGGGATGTAGGTGCCGTGTCTCACAGGAGTGCCCTTTCGATGCGCTTGACTTTGGTGCTACTCTATGTCCGCTGCTTCCTTTCAGTGCTTCCTGTGCCGTTCGGCCGAGGTACTTTTGTCGGTAGCATGTAGAGATAGCGATTGATCAATAAACTGTAAGTGCATCTCAGTGGAGCTGAGAGATGTGGAGGAAAACCCCCAAACCGTTAGGGCAAGCCTACGCTTCAGTGCTTTCCCCTGGAGCCTGCAAACGTGTTCCTCCCCGCCGAGCTGCCCTGGTTCCTGTTAGCTGGGGGGTCGCGGCTGGCAGCAGACACTGGGCTCTGGATGAGGGGCAAGCTCGGCCGCAGGGAAGGAACTGGAATCTGATGTTCTCTTTTTTTTTTTTTTTCCCCTTTAAATAGGATTATTTGTCTGGCATCTGAAGAACACTGGAATACGGCAGCTACCATGCCGGTTTGTGCATCTATGGCATGTAGCCAATGACAGATTGATTACATTTCAGTACTTTACCTTTCTCAAACGAATGGTAAGTCAGGGACTGTAGCTATCCCATGTTTCTCATTCTTTAATTCATTTTGTCCTGCTTATCAGCCAAGCTCAGGCAATTCCAAGCGTTTCCTTTTCTGCACTGCATCAGAGTTAAGCGCTTGGCATCTAAAACATTTGGGGTTGGAGGAAACCTGGTGTAGCAAGGGCAATGCCTTGCGCTGCAGTGTGTCCTCTACTCGATGGGGGCTTTCTGTGCCTTTGAGGTGAAGTGCTGATGTTGAGAAATGTGAAATGAAATGATTTCTAAAGTTGTTATTTGTCAAAGTGCTAATAAGAAAGTCAGATCTTGGTTGGGAGTCATACAAGTGGTAGATGGAACTCACTTGTGGAGGTAGTGTGTTCTGACTGAAGAGTTAATCAGTTAATTTGAATCAAAACTGCTGAGCTCGTTAACTTAATGGGCTGCCTTCTATAGTGTGCTGTTAGCCTTGGGTATTAAAAGAGCTGTAATTATCATTCAAACCCTTGAAACTGTATCTTCTTCTTTGAACAGTTGCATAGCATGTGAGAGGATGGTAGTAAAAGAGTTGTGCCCTGTTCATTGTGCTTTGTAGCTTTATCTGTGAAATATGGATAAGATTAAATCTTACACCTAATGACTGCTTTGACTGCAAGGAGCGTGTACATCTGTTGGTATTTTTGAGCTTCAGACCTGTACGAAGGAAGAGATGGGGATCTCGTCCCTTCTTCCCTCTTTCTGCGGGTCACCAGCACTTCTCAAATTCTTTTTGATCTATTCACATCACTCATTCAGAGTTTCATATCTCTCTTCCTCATTATAATTATCAATGCGTACTTTAAACAATGTTTAGTTGAAAGCTCACTCTTCTTACGCCTGTCTCTTGTGCTTGAAATATGCAGAATATTTTAGGAAAGAAAATAGAAAGGTAGGAGAAGCTAAATGCTCTTTTACAGGATAAAACACAGAATAGGAAAGAGTTCTAAAAGAGAGGAAACAACTGTCTCCTAACTTTGTGTTCAGTATGTGTTCATTTGAACTGTTGAAAATTGTTATCTGGTTAATTAGCATAAAGCTTGGCATAAATAGTAACAGCCTAATGTTGAGATGGGTTTGTATCATAGGAGGTAGATTGCATTTTCTGGCATTTTTCTGATATTTTTTCATATCTTAAAGGTGTAAGAAGTTTAGTCCTTATTTTTGGAGACTGGAGTTGTTATGGGCATGCATGTGCCTCTTTATTTAGAGATTAATTGATCGGTAAATTAGACTATATTATCTGATGGTTTTGAATATGAATAGAGTTTACTCTTGAAGCTACAGAGGAGGAAGTAGTTTTATCCAGAAGTAATTCTTCAAGTTTCAGTAAAAATTACTGATGCAGATGCGAGTTGAAAAGCTGCTCTTGTAATATCTTGTCCAACTTCAGAAACTTTTTTTGCATGTGAAATAAGTGTTTGAAATTCAGGCTAACTCAGTCATATCATCATAGGAAGTAATTCTCCTAACAATAAGAATAATACAGCAATAATATTGATGTCGGTAATAACCTGAAATGGACATAAATATCTTCTTAATTATTCATCTTAACATTTCTCATTCTGTTTAGTATGTAACGCAATACAACAAAGACCTCAGCCAACGAGCCAAACCTAAATCAGATTCAGTGGCATTTCCTTTTCGCGAGCTTCAGCAATTGGATCAAGATAAAAAGATTATACACGAGATTAGACGAATTTCACCTGTTCATCAACCTTTGTCTGAGACATCAAGCAGAAAGGAGTTGAGAGAAATGAAGTCAGCTGCAGAAACTGAAGACTCAGTCACACCAGTAAGGGCAGAATCCAAAGACGACAGACAATGGAAAGAGATGAAGCTGCGGCTGGATGATTTGCCAGGAATTTTGGCACGCTTGTCGAAAATTAAGCTTACAGGTACTACTAGTCCTTTTTTTTCACTTTTGCGCATTTTGTTTTAAAATGGTGAGGAGGAGTTTGCATCATATCGCCAGCTGGCTTTTGGGAATCATAAGGAAGTGTTAGTACGAAAAACACAGTGAAACTGGGTTAGAAAGTGAATTTACAAGCCTTGTATCAAGTATTTAAAGTTATCTTGCTTAAGTTTACCAATGTTCTATCTTATCTACTTACCTTTCACTTTAGTAATTTAATACAAATTAATATTAAAAGTACCAACAAAAGATAATCTGAATAATTTCCTATCTTGTAAAGGAAAATGTTGGAGTGTCACTGCTTAAGTTTTCTGAAACGAGGTATAATTTACTTTTCTAGTCATTGATAGTGTTCTATCTTCAAACCACCAGTTTGTTAAGCAATTGCTTTGTACCCTAACTACATGTTCCCTTGTTCTAATAGTAATACTTTACCTATTGGCAAAGAAGTAATTTATAGTTATGCTGTATATACTTTTATGTCTAAGGAAACTCTAATGATCTGACCAAAGCTTTACAGCTTGTCTGTGTCGGGGCCAGGAACAGAAATATAATTTCCTAGGTGCCTACTGTGGTGCTCTCTCCAGTGGGTGAGGTAAATTCTTGACCATAAAACTGTTGTTCTTTGCCATAACAACTTATTATAATAAAAATCTTGAATTCAGTTTACTTTTTGAAACTTTTTGTCTTGCAGTATAAATGTTTTCATTGTTTGTTTCTCCATGGAAAAGTTGTATTCACCACATACACTGTACAATGGTCACTTAAATTTTTCTCTCTTAAAAAGCCTTACAGTTCTTAGTGTTGATGAGACATCTCATGTTTCAGACTTGACAAAATTGATCTTGTCTGTATGTCCAAATGTTCTTCCTCATTATTTTTTAAAAACCTCAATATGTTTATTTTGGGCTGGTAACGATTTGGGTTAGTAGACTTGGGGGGATGAAAAGCATCTCTTTTGATACTTTACCATGACACTTCTGTATTAGCCTTGGTAATTTCAAATTTCGGTATATAAAACTCTTACTAGCGCATTCAGCAGTTACCAGGACTAGCGTACTTCAGATTTGCAACAGCTTTGTGGCACATACAACCTCAACGATTGCTGCCTCTTTCTTTCTGCATAATGCAGGTCTTGCCTTTTTCTCCCCCATGCTGTTCAGTTTTGGTAATATTTTGTTTCTGGTGGGCTCGCTGTGGATAGATGCTATGCGAACAATTAGCTCTTCTGGCATATTTTCAATGAGGTGATTTTATTTAGGTGGCTTTTTTATGTGAACTTGACAGCTGTGCTAGTTATTGAGATAGAATTAAATTTTAAAAATCTCAATAGATCCAGAAATGAAAAGTTAAAATGCCATGATTAAGTGACCAGAGAGAGAGAAAATGAAGTGTTGTTTTAAACACTGGAAATGTATGTTCTTATGTTTGCTGATATTCCTTAGGGGTAAGCTCAGTGTTAGTACCACATCCGAGTATTCCTGATGCTCCTCAAAATGGGAGTTTCAAGAACTGCAGCAAGATGAAAGAGTGTCTTTTTCTGGAGAAAATAATTTTATGTGATACTTTTTTTGTGTGGCCTCAGTGTTGCTGTGAAACTTTTCAACAGCTTCTAGTAGACTCTCGGTTTTTTAAATGCAAAAGGCAATATTGACAGTCAAGCAAGGACTGGTCTGATTTTAAATAGGGTATTACCTGAAACCTGTAGAAGGCAAAGATTACAGAATTTCGTTCCCTTCAGGACTGTTGTTTTGCATGAGTCTGTGTTTTGAGCTGTGCTGTGCTTAGTCCAAGGTAAGGGTAGTAAGCTTTGTAACCTGTTGAGAAGGTCTAGAGATATAGAAAAAACCTTAACCTCTCCTCTTGTGTGATCTTTATGGATTTGGTGGGGAAGATGACCTGGGATGGGGAGATTTTATTGGAAGTAGAAAGTGTAAAAGAGTAAGCTGGGTGAAGAGGGGTTTGTAGGAGGGGAGTTCTGTTGTTGTCTTTATTGGTCATAGGATAGCGTAGGAGACGGGAGCAGGAAAAATAGTGGGTGTAATGTGCGGAGTGAGGAAACAATTAGCTTTTTTTCAGCTTGTGTAATCATTTAGACAAATTATGTATTCTGTAAAGAATATGGTGGTGTAGTTCTTTGATTTTACTTTTTTAAAGAAAAATAAATTCTCTGAGGTCAGTTTTTAAGTTACAAATGACACACAACTCAGTTCCTTTCACCCATGAAGTTCTGATAGATCTTATATCCTGTGTGTTATTTTTGGCGGACTCTTTATTTATACTTTTTAGAGTATGAAATAACAAAAAAACAAACTCTGCATTATGCTAAAATGGGACTTCCTTATGCCCTTTTCTTTTCCCACTGCTGAAGTAAAGAGAATGTTTGTTTGTATTCTGAACTGTAATTCACCTTTGAAAGGAAATGAGTTTAGCTATTACCATACCCTCCTGCTTCATGTAAACTGCAGCTCTTGTGTCTCTGCCATTAGAAGCTCTGCCTTACCAACAGGAAAAGATTTTTGTTTATATTCTTTTGCCATAGAAAACAATTAGGGAACTTTTAATTACTTGTCGCATAATCTACCTTTTTGTGTTCAGTTTCCGTCCTGTCCCTTCTCTGTGGTGTTCTCTGGCCGCTCTCTGAACAGCTGTGTCTTACCATCCAGGCGCTTGGAAGCTAATGCATCTGTCTGATTAAGTTTTCAGAATTATAAATGTCTTTGTTTCCAACCTCATCCTAAAGTTCATGTGTAGCTGAAAATAGGAGAGAGAGATGTGAAGGTATGGTAATAGGAGGAAATGCTAATAATTTATAAGGCAAACACATTAAGAATTCCAGGTTGTCATCTTATATTTAACTTCAGGTTTACATTTAAGTGATGTTTTCCTCAGTGATCACAGCTGAAAACTAAGATGAGCTATATGCAAAACCACAGGGAAATTAAACTTCAGTTTTTAATTTGGGGGAAGTGTGATGAAGGCATGATATGAAAAACGCTGAGTATTCTCATTAGATATCTCTCTGTGATTTGAAAAGATTTTTGCAGTGTTGCTCCTGTGGTAAAGGATATCTCGCACGTTGGTCTTTTGGTGAGGTCGACCAGCTAGATGTATAGCACCTTTTGTAGCACCTGAGAAGTGGATGTATCAACTTGGGTCAGATGTAAATTAACTGCTGGTTTCTAAACAGCTGTAGAATATTTAACCTAACTTCCAAGCACATTGAGGAAGGGTCTGTGTCTTTAGTAAATCTCCGTCTTTACTGTGCCTGAAAGAGTTGAGTCCTGACTCCAGGCTACTGTAACACGGATGTCCTTTAGAGAGTCATCCTAGAGCCCATATGTTTCAAACACTTATCTACACTTCCTTTATCCTGTGTTTTAGTATAGTAGTTAACAATTTTATTTGTCTCACAAATGTATTAATTTGTCTGAAAATTCTTTTTTTATTCACAATTGTGTATTAACTGGTTGGTTTTTTACCCAGGGATCATATGCAAAGTCACAGTCTCTCCCCCAAAGTCTTTATATTCTTTTATGGCATCTCGCTGCAAGGCGCTTTTATTTTCCCAGCTCTTAAAAGGTGTTTTAGAGTTTTGGTAGTATTTTCTTCCAAGTACATTTTAATAGTCAATCCGTTAAAGCATGATGAGCGTAGCTTTTAGGTTCTGATTACTGAAGACTTTGTTTCAGATCTCACCAGAGTGCCTTCTGCACGTGGTATCTTGCTTTGGTTCAGAGTGTGCAGTATCCATGCAGAATGACAGGGACCTCAAAGGGACACTGCAGGAAGTCATCCATCTGTTTTTCCCAAGGCAGGATCACCTTTAGGTATATCATTCCTGACTTGATGTTGCTTTGTCCTTTCTTAAAACCAACCAGGGAATATGCAGCTTCCCTGGGCGGTCTGCAGCAGTGTGTTACTGCCCTTACTGCTGAAAAGTGTCTCTGTGTCTAACAGAAACCCTCCTTTGCTTCACTTTATGTTGCTGTTTCTCCAAACACTGAGAAATCTGGAAACTTTCTCAAAGTAAGCTTATATTTTGCTGTGTTTCTCTCATTCAGGATGCGAGGTGTTTGGTTATATCTAGCTCTTGGAGAGTTCAGTCCAGAATCCTATTAACGTTATGTAAGACTTGAGAGTAAATTACCTCTGGTTTTGTCATGGTCTATACCTTAGAGCTAAAATAGGCCAGCCTGAGGTGCTTGCATGTCTGTAAATCTGGAGTAATTAGTCATCTTTAATAGAGTCGTTCCAGGGTTTACCATGGTCAGATCAGAATCAAACCTATTGCGCTTTTTTCTTACCAAAGTGTTATGTGCATGTTACGGACAGAATCGCAAGACTGATATAATCAGTTCTCTGGGGAGGCCCGTAAGTTTGTTGGATATTTGTTTTTAAGGAAAAGATTTACATATCATTTTGATGCCATCTGATCACTAATAGCTCCTTCCACAGAAAGGGGGATGTGGACATTCTCCAATCAGGTGCCAAAATTCTTTTAAAGAGAGATTTTGAAGCATCTATGCTTTCATTTTCAAACCTCTTTTTTTTAAATATGTAAATCTTTGCACAGAGAAAACATGTTTCAGAAATTGAAACGGGAAGCTCTGGCTTGACATAAGAGGAAAAAGAAAAGTTTCTCCATGAGGACAGTCAAACTTTGGAGCAGGTTGCCCAGACATGATGTGAAATTTCTGTCCTTGGAGACGACAAAGCCCTGAGGGACCTGACCCGAATTCAGCGTTGACCCTGCTTTGAGCATGAGGTTGGACTTGATGATTGCCCGAGATCCCTTCCAATCTGAATTACTGTGTTGTTGCCAGCCGATGTTGGACAAAAACCTAGGAGTAAAGACTACCAGCTACAAAATTGTGTGTGGTTTCTGCGTCGTGGGCTTACTGACCTACATTTAAGTTTTGCAAAGTGGACACATGGGATGATTTATGAGCATTTTCAGTTTTGGAGACTAAAATTGAGTGGTTTTTCATAGAATTATTTTCTTAAAAGAGGACATATCTTGTTTATTAGGAAACAACTGGAATCTATTGGATGTATTGCTTACCTGTGAATTTGTGTCTGTGTGTTAGCGATCCTCTAGCACAAAAGTGTTCAACTGGATATCGGAAGCCTGAGATATTTGCCGCTGACTTACGGTGTGATCATGAACATGCTGCTTCATCTCTGTGTCTGTTGCGTGTTTGTAAAATGAAGATGATGGATATGCAGCTTTGCATAATGACTCTTGAGTGTTACCAAACCACTATGTAATGGAGCAACAATAACTAAATAAGGTGCCTATGTTGTGTTTGTAGGCTGAAAAAAATCTAGTAACAGCTAGTAAAAAAATCCGTTTGCTTTAATGGAGTTCCAGTATGTTTCCACTTTATTCTGGAATAATGGCGTTTATTGTGGCATTTATTCTTTAAATGGCAGCTTTAATATAGCCAGAAACTTTGACAAAGATTTATTGGTATATATTGTTTAGATTATTACTAGTCTACATTTATTCTCAATTCTAAATATATTTTGTACGACTGTCAAAGTAGTTCTTATTTTGTGATTATTAAAACAGTAACTATTATTCTATCAAAGAAACAAAGCTTAATCATTGTAGCTTTCTGGCAATTTGTTTTCCATGCGACAAGGAAAACTAATGAAATAAACTACAATAGTAGTTTATTTTTTGCAAAGCATTTTAAAATTGTTCGATGGTAAAAAGAGATTATCTGCTCTGTTCGTAATATTGCACTTGGATTTTATATGATACGATGCAAAGGCTTGTTTCAAATTATTATCCCAAATTTAAGTTTGCTTTGGGAGTTTGGCCTTCTTTAGCGTACAGGTTATAATCTGCCACAAAACTTAAATATGCTTACACCCAAACAAATTGAAGTTTATAAAGGAAACATTGGTCAGATCTATAGCACTAACACCGATGCTACATTTAGCTTTCCAGAAGCCGAAGTGTGAAAACTCTGGAAGGAAAATTCCATCAGCTTTTGGAACGCTGGTTTCCTTTAAGGAGTGTAAAACATTTGTAGTAAAACAGTGAAATTGTTTCTTAAATTAAAGTAGAAATGCATTTGCTTCTGCCCTTTCGTCTGTACTGATGTATCATCAGTACAGGAGTAGAAGGGAAATCTCAAGCTGAATTGGTTTGCTTTGGCGTTCTACACTTTTATTTTGGCTTGGCTACTTTTTAATAGGAGGTAAATAAAATATGGCATAGTAATTCACATGCTATAAATGCAAATACAGGGATTTATAAAGGCAGATCACGTTACGGTGAAGCCGAAGAGGAATGTAAGGAATACTGTATGCTGTAGACTTTTTGAATGTGTTTTTATGCTAGAAACGTCATAATTCTCTCTTTCTGTCACCAGTCCATTAGCATTTTCTTTTTCATTTACGTTGAAATGGGAGACAAATGTCCCCTGTTAATTTTTGTTAAAGCTAAAGATGTTTGAAAGACTGAAAATTAGGTTTAGGCTGAGATCATAAGTTTAAATCTGGGCTTCTTTTTGAAGAGCACATATAATGCCACCTCTCATCAACAAATCTTGAAAGGATCAATTCCATCTATTATGCAATAAGGTGAAGTTAATTTGGCCCCTAAAGCACTAAACTAACAGGGATTAAAAAACAAACAGAGTCAATGACCTCATTCCCTTGATGTGATCTCAATTAAATATACTTTTCCTCCATGAGGAAAGGAAAAGAGTAAATTATTGCTTCCAAAGTAAAAGAAAATAAACTTCCCAATCCAAAGGGAACGTTTTCGTATTTACTCTTAACGTGTTGCATTTGAATTGCTGGGCGATGAGACAAGTCGGGAATGCCTTGTGCTCAGAGCGCTGCCCCAACAACTAAAAATACCTGTTTCAGTGGGATAAGCGAGAGGATGTACTACAGCCTTTTTTAATGAGATCCTGATAAGTCACGCTGAAATGACTGACTGAAATTAATCTGGAGAAATCAATGGGGACTTTAATTAGTGCTGTAGCTGTACAGTATTAGAATTTCTTTGAGGTCAGTGTAATGGTAATGTTACACTGACTGTTTGCCAATCTGCTCCACCTTTCTTCTTCGGTAAATGAGTTGGTGTTTTCCCATAATAAATTGGTGGAAAGTGCTCTCTAAGATAAGTTTTAATTAAATTCTTGTCTAGAAGTGAACGTGTAATTTATTATGCAAAAAAATGAATGTAATCACTCTCAGAAATGCAAACGCCACTGTTTTGCCATCATCTTTTCTGTGTGTTTAACTCCATCAGTTGTAAAGCAAGGCATTTCATATTTTCTTGTGAAAAGAAGGATCCAAGAGTTTTGAAACTAAGATGCTGTGGTATTTATGTAATAAATGAGGTCCAGTCTTTCAGAAGTGATCAGTACCTTCATGTCTGTTAGTTTGTCTGATGGGGTTACAGAATCTGTGGTTATTTCACAGCTCCTCAGAGGAATAAGGCTGCATCGTAGACTCATTGTATTTTAGAAGTAGCCGAAGGGGCTGCAGCGAGAGCCGGGTACTGTCCTGGGGAATCAAAGCCCGGGGACTTGGCGTCGGGCAGAGCACCTGACGCAGCGCACTCACATCCTGTGAATCCATAACAGGGCTAAGTAATTCAAGTTTCTAGTCATAATATTCAGCTATCAATAGATTTTAATACTTAGAGGCAAGTTTTGATGAGCAGCAAGTTTTCTTCGCTGTCTTTTTAGAATTAAATCCTAAGGTTCTTAGGCACAGTTCTTAAAATTAGCACTTTGCATGTGCATCCTTGCTGGCAGGTCTCTGCCATGACATTTAGTTTTTCATCTCAAGTAACACTGCTTAGTAGATAATCCAGATATTTTCAGTCAGCAAAAATTATTTATTTGTCACTTAACTTCAGACAAACAGGAGATTTTGTAGGAATCAGGGAGATAAGAACATTTGGATTCTTTGATTTGAGCTAGCTGAGATCTGGAACATGTAATTACATGCAAAATATTATTTAATTACTTTCTGTTCAATAGCTATTAATTGTAGAATGTAAGGTTCAAGGTCATGAGCAAGATATTCTGTAAATGTGCTGACTTTTATAGTATAAGAAATTTTTCAGGTGTTATTTCTTGCCAAAAGTGAGGTTCGTAAGACCCGTTATTTGGGTAATTACAAAATTATTTGCAGTTCTGTACTAAAGTTATAATTTTGGATGACAAAATGGATTTTCACTAATACGCTCAAATTTTGAGGCCTTTGACTGTTGCTAGGTCCATGTGATGATGTGATTATACCTTCTGCCTGAAGTGAGCCTGTCAAATGGGACCAGTGGGAGCAAATACTTGCACAGTGAAGTTACCGGCTTCGCCAGCTGTAGCCTACGTGTCCTCAATTTCTTTGACTTTCTGCACTGCTTAGGTTCCTGCAATAATTTGATACAATGCGTATTTCTCAATTTGAGATTTTTCTTACTGTTTTTCTTCCATATTAGACTTTGCAATGGCGTGTGAGTTACTGGAACTAATGCCTCCCCTGTACATGTTGCGTGAGGCAGTCTGATCCAGTAGCAAATTCATGAAATAGGGAATACAGAGACATAACTTTTATTCTTACCTCTTCTACTAATGTGCTGATGCTTCTGGCTTTCTCTGACAGTTGTCTTTCTCATCTTTGCCTTCTTTATGTAGAGTATTAATTGTACGCAGTTCCTGGAGCTACTCTGATCCGTAAAAAGAGTAAAAAGTTAATCTGCACAAGGATTCTTACAGGATTTGAAACCTGTAATTCTAGTGGTATGTAGAAAGGAGACGGTTTCTTGTTGATGCCTTGAACTGTACTCTCACTTGTGTTGCAGCTCTGGTTGTAAGCACCACATCTGCTGGCTTTGCCATGGCCCCAGTCCCTTTTGACCTGACCTGTTTCCTGCTCGCCTCCCTTGGAACTGGGCTGGCGTCCTGTGCTGCCAACTCCATCAATCAGGTCAGTCAATCTCTTCATACGTACCGCAAACTCGGGTTGTCCTGGCTTCTGAAATGCTGCCAAGGAGTGTAAATGGATGGCTGGAGGGGCTATGCCGTCAGCTGCCACGTGAGCTCTGAGCTGCTAAAACTGACACCGCAAAAGGAGGATATGTCTGAGAATTAAAGTAGTTGCTAGGCACAGTGTGTTTATTCAGAATGGAGTTGATGAGCTTTTAAGCCTCCCAATAATAATGTTTATCTTGATAATACCAACTCTGGGTCACTGCAAATTACATAGGAAGAACTGTGTAATTGGAGTGTAAGAATAGCCATTGGGGCTCCAGCCTTACCAGCCTGGTTCCTTGGCTGCGTTACTGTATGACCTTGTCGGATCTGTCTAAAGCGTGGCTCAGAGCACCTTTCTAAACATCTACAGTGGGACTGCTGGGGTCTGTGTGCTTCTGTTCAGGCTGGTATCCGGGAATCTATAAAACATACTGTAAGTCTCTGTCATGTGGTAGCTGTTTTGTGCCGGAGATGTTCCTGGTGCCTGAATTTGAGCTTCCTTGCATGTGTGAACATGCCCGTGGAGCTTGATGCTGGTCTCTCGGCTCTCTTGCAATCCAGCTGTGAAGCAAAGTTGCTGTTAGGCTCTCCTTTGGAACATAGGAAGAGCCTAACTAGTGAACAGGTAACAATACTTGTGGTGTTGAACAGAGTTACAAAGCATAGTAGTTGTAAATTGGCCTGGAAAAAGAAGTGACAGTAGTGGTGCCACCTTTGGTAGCACTATATGGTTTCAGCAATTGCTTGGGAGATGGGGGGCTGAGTCCTGGGACCCCGCTGATGGAACAGGACATGGAGGTTTCCTGTGATCAACGTCCTGGAGTCATCTTGATTGAGTTGGGATCTTTGATGTTTACACCTCAGTTGTAGGTACCCGATGTGTTTTTTGAGATTGCACCCGTAAGCATGTGTCTTGCTCAGACTGAAGTGCGTGTTTTACTGTTTGTTTTCACTGAGCCTACAATTGGGGTAGGCAGCTAACTTTGTTTTCCCTGCACAATAGGAAGGATGCTGCATGATTTTTAGTTGCTTGGAAATATTTAGGTAGCCTACTTAACTTGAAAACACTTAGGGAGCCTTGAAAAATAATTTTAAGAAAGTCATGCTGTTTTCTGAAGTATACGTTTGGTTATTGTGTACATTTTTTTCACATAAAATCAGGGTAGAAAAGCTGTTATAACTAAGGTCAAGCTTTCTTAGTTTTGATACTTTTTGAGGTACGCTTTTTTCCCTCCCTTTTTTCCTTTACTATGGGTTGTTTTTTTATATTACAAATTCATTTTGTGACTTACCAGTCCTTTGAAATGTTTACTGTGATATTTACTTTCACCTTTGATGTGGATACTACTGGACTAAGAGGAGAATTAATTATTTCTTCTTTAGAGACTCCTGTGCAACTTCTCTTTCTTGTGATTTCGATAGATCGTTCTAGAGACGATATTCACGCACAAGTAACTGGTTTTCTTTGTCTTCAGCTTCCACGTATTGCTCAGTGTTGTATTTCGTCTCAAAAGTAGCCGCTTTTTAAATGCTTGGAAGCCACTTTTTGAAATCTGGAGATACTTGGGAGTGCCATAACTTCAAGTTTGACACTTCTGAGGCTTGCTGGGATGGGAAAAGAAAGTTAGGAGTGCAATAACTTTGTGCTTGGGCTTATAATTCACTATTTACTCACTCCTATCTCACCATAGGAAGAGCTGTTAATATGCCCTTAAATAGAGAAGCTTACTCCAGCCTCACACAGTGTAAAACAGTCTTTCACAATTGCAGCTGAATGCTTTAAGTTTGTACACTCGCTCATGTTGAGCCTGTGTATACAGACCTTGAGGGCAACTACTCCTGCTAGGGAAAATAAAGCAGCCAAGTAGGTAATGAAGCAAAAGAAAAGAGCTGTGGCCTGTGACCTTGTTTATCAATGGATCCTTTCAGGCAACGAGTGTCCCTTTCCCGGTGTTGCTGGTGGTGTTGTGTCTGAATTGGCTGGGAATTTAATTTTCGATAAATACTGTAGGCTTGGATATCCGTCTCGACCTTTGGGAAAGGAGCACATTTGACTTGGAACTTCCTTTATTGCTACTTTGCTCTGTCCATTGCTCCCCATACGCATCCTCTTCTCTGGCAGCTCATGACTCATGTTTCCCTTGTTGCTCCGTGCTATCCCTTAAGGACTTTTTATATGATAACCGTCTTTCCGCTTCCCATATCGCTATAAATCTGTACATCTTTAAGGGCAACTCGTCTTTCCCACCCCTCATTTCCCTGCTAAATCTGTGTTCACGATTTACAGTCCTCAAATATGTCATGGGAAGGTAAAGTGTTGATTGTGTAAGATTCTTCCCTGTGATTTAGGACAGGATGTGAGGAGCCTGGTCCTGTGAAAATGTAATAGAGGTTCCATAATATCGGTGGAAGTATTGGTACAGACTTTTAACTGTTCAAATTCTGTGGTTTGGGTTGTTTTTCCTTCTCTCGACCACTTCATTTTAGCAATCCGGTAAGAGCTGAGGCCAGTTTACCCCCACTGAATTAAGCTGAATTAACTATGTAAGTTGGATTAACTACTGGGGAGCCAGGACTATGCTAAGTAACACGCAGAGACCAAGAAGTCCTGTTTTTTTTCTTTATGAATTTAGTCTAAAATAATCTTTTAATTATCACTTGCTCTCCTAATTTCAGATGGCTGCATGTCATACTTTAAACAATTTTTTCCTAACCGCGTGAGCTAGAAAGTTACAAAAATTGGCCAGAGTGGAGGTTCTTGCCTAACTTTCACTGTCCTTAACAAGAAAGCAATAATAAAAAAATGGTGAGAGTTGCCAACATTGTGTTTTTCCATTGTTTATAGAAGTACAATCTGGATATTCATCAGCCATAGACATATATTTACAAACAAGTTTTACAACCCATAAATTCTATATTCTAGCTGTTCTTTCTGATGCAAGTAGAAATAATGTGGGTTTATAACAATTCTGTGAAATTGGATAATTATTTTTAACAAGCTTTTATTTTTTCTGTGCGAAATGACAGGGGAAAAAATTGTGTTTGAAAATGTCCTGGAAAATACAGACAAAAAGTACTTGAGCATGGGCTTGTGTTAGAGGGAACCGTGGTGCCTGTTCTACAGCAAGGTCATTCTAGAAACATTTGTGTAGAAAATGTCAAGTAAAGTATCTTGGAATAATTTATGTTAGACAGTAGTTTCAGAGAAACAGAATCTCTCATGTTGGTGGAAAATGTTATGAATTCTGGGGATCAGGATAAATATTGGAGGGTCCTTGGGTTTTCCTGTAGAGTGTTGGGTCTGGGGGCTATAAGGGAGTAAACTGCTGGTGAAAGGTGCCAAAGAAAAGATAGTGTTTTATTTCTCTTGTCCTCTACCAGCAGTTCTGCCTCTGCCTCACTCCTTCGTATCACAACACTTCGGAGTTGTACTTCGCACCTAATCTAGCATTTTAGTGGCACGCTAATCTAGCGGTCCCTGGTTCTCTTCCACATCACGCAACACTGTGTAACGGCCTTCAGCCCTTCGGTATTGTACTACAACATGTCACCGCTTTTCAGTCCCACCTGCTAAAACTGCTTTCCTCTTTTTTTTTCCTTCTCTTTTTCTAATGGTGCTCTTCCTTTTTTCCATCGTTGAAGTAACTTAAAATTATTGTGGACAGGTGTTCTTTATTGGTGTTCTATCTTTTCAAAATAATCAATATTTTACAGTGGTTTTTAATTAAGTCACTTAATGCATTTACCAAGGAATAGACCGAGCCACGTTTTTACTGTAACATTACTAAGCTAGCCAAAACCACCGGAAAAATCTCATTATAAGAGATCAGTCTTATTGCAGTTCTGGTAGGGAAATGGAAATATGTTCTGGGGTTTCATCTTATAAACGCTGCATGTTAATCTTGAATAAAACAAATAATTATTCCTAGCATATTGCTTTTTGACACTGTCCGCTTTCCTGACACTTTCGGTCTTGTACTTTGGTATGGATACACAGAAGGTATTTTGTTGTTCCTTACAAGTGGAAAAAAAAAATACTGAAAACAATGTTTTCTGATCGGTGAAGACCAATTTTGTAAGTTATTTTTTCCCGTACTATATTCGTGCTGTCATAGAAATGGAATGGGAGACAATGATATTAAGTTGATAATCTTGCTTTTTTGTAGTTCTGATTTTTGATGATTTTTTGAAAGCTGACTCCAGTTTCAAGGAATAGAGTCTTACATTTATATTATGGAGAAAACATGTCATTTTTGAGACTTCTAAGATACTAGCCTCTGATTTATGGAGAAGGAGATAAAACATGAAGAGATGTTTACAACACAATACACGGCATTAAAATGTTAAAGGAATCACATGCACGTTTTATATGCCAAGTACATTCTTCTGTAACTGCAGCACGGTTAAAAAGTAGGAGCGAGCTATAAAGATGAAAGCAGGATGTTTAAAATGGGTTGAATTTAGTAACAGAGAGATAAAATGATGTGGTTGGATTTGACTGATGGTACCTTGAAAAGGAAGTAGACTGGCCTGAATATCTTAGCTGAAGTTAGAGAGCTGAAAATAAGAAATACAGTAAATAGTGACCCAGCATGAGAGAACAAATGTAAGAGCAGTTAACATCCCCGTCCCTTCAGGGTCTGATCTGATACCTGCATTTTGCTCTTAATGTCATCATCTCTTGACAGCGATGATCCCTTAGATGTGTAGCTGTAATGGGTGGGAAGGATGGGTTTGGTCTTAAAATAATGGAGTGGAATTCAGGATCTGAGGTCAGTTGCCAGTCCGCAGACCCTGTGTGTGTTTTGTGGGGGCTTTTTTTGTTTGGTTTTGGTGGGTTTTTTTTTTATTAAGACAAACTGTGATGGTCATTTGGATACTGCTGTGATGGGCACCAGGCTAAATAAAGTCAAAATAGAGCAGCCTCTCCTCCAGTTTTTAATCCACTGACTA